TTGAACAGGACCCAGCTTATATATACACCTGAGCGGAAAACCGTGCTCAGTAAAACAAGCAGAAGTGAAACAAAGAAATATCACAGTTGTAGTCAGAGTTGATTGTGAAGAAAATATGAACGGAAAACGTCTTCATGGATTGCTCCTTTTCCTCGTACAATCATGGTCACTACAGCAGTCCCCCACTAGAAAGGAAGCAAAAGCTTTCTATTCAGAAACGAGTTTGAAGAGCAGGCAATCGTTAGCGTGTGGCTAGGCTGCAAGACATGGATTGGCAGAATCGTTAGTATGTGTGGACTGTTTTGCGTCATTCGAACATCGACCAGATTTGTTGCATCGGATGTCAGCATGGGAACCATAGTGACGTATCCTCAATCGGTCATTGGATGATTCACAACATCCGAATCATTAGTTGCATCATGGAATCAGATGGCTCTCGTCGTTTCCAGCGTCCGTGATCGTTGGCGTGCCAGAATGAAAGAAGAAGACCACTTGTTGTTCATGTATGCAACTGTAGAAACGTAAATCGTCTTCAACAAACTCTTGAGATCCACGATCGTGCGAGAGGGTGCCAAAATTATCGCTGAACCTCGAGGCAACCAATGTGCATTTCGCATGACCTGATCTTTGGAAATGAAAGATTGTCGGAGGAAACCGATGTAGCATCCTAACGTTCAAAATTGCTGCATCAATCATAAACAACCATTAGGCATACAAAACAAATATCGAGATAAGGCATCTCGTGATATAAGTTGTAATAGGTATTGCCCACGTTATACGCTTGTGTGGATCGTGTTTCGCTCAATCCCGCAGACGGGTAGGCAAAACAATCCTTCGACCTGAACGTGAGACTGATGTCTCGTCCTGGTCTGATACGGTGCTCGTACACTGCTGATTTGAATGTGAGACAGTTGCCTCATTCGAAGTCGTAACAGGTACTGCGATCTGCGAGCTCGATTCCGAGGAAGGTGCCTTAATCATCGGCCGTGCAGGAATATCATCGGGTCTCAAACTGGCGTGCACTATGCCATCCTTGACATATGCTGCCTTGAGCCCTTTGATGTTAATAGTATCCACGCGACCATGTCGATCATCCTGAGGAACTTTTAGTGACGCGAAATAACTCGAAAAGGTCCTTCGTAAGGCTGTTGTACCGGTAGTAGTGTGGCATCCCAACTATTGCAATTTCTAAAAACAACCTATTTTAAAATGTATTTTAGAAAAGTGATGTCGAATTCAGCTGAATTGGAACAGATTTTGCTTTTGGCTGATACTGAGTGATTTGTTAAAATTTAATTTGTTTTAATTAACCTTGTTAATGCGGCCAATGCTTCGTTGAGGAATTGAAAGTATTTCTCTCTTTCTTAATTTTTACCGCTTAATTCTTACAATTTATACTCTTTATCGTCTGTAACTTCATGTTTGTTTATATGTATCAATTTCACATTTATTGACGTTGGACCGGACATATTGCTTTGTCAGCTCGGTTGAGCCTTCTCCCTGTTTTTGTTGATTCCTGCGTTCTGCTTGGGTGAGCATACATCCAAGTGTTTTACATTTTTTGTATTATTTGGGTATGACCTTTTATAGATACCGTATAAATTATCGTGGTCTATTCGTTGAATTTGTGTGCTCACTTCTCGTTCGTATTGGGTTCATTCGATTGGGATCGTTCGTTATCTCGTTGATCAAGCTCGTTCGTATCAGATCACGAAATTGGGTTTACTCGTACGCGTACTGGAATTACGAACTCAAGCAGGCGTAACAGTATTTGGATTGCTCAAAATTCGAACGGCTGATTATCTGAATTTTATTCTCTGTGACTGGGATTGTGACATTGAACTCGTTGTGTTACCTGGGTTTTATTGACGATTGCAGTTTGCAATCGTGAACATCCGTTAAAGCTTTGACATCCTCTTTCCTGTAAGGAATTGTTTTCTCTTTGCGAACTATTCTTTTTTGTGTGCTTTGTCTTTCCTACCATCCGATGGAATGCTCAAGTCAGGAGAATTCCGAGTATGAATCTCAGACGGATGCTGCCGGTGCACCTCCTCCTGGTAGGTGCGATAACTGTCAGGATTGTGATGACGTTGGTGTTATTGTTGAGCTTAAGTTGGAGTTAGAGAGTGCACAACTCGAGGTTGAGGCAGCTAGCGCTATGCGTAGAGCAGCGGAGGTTAAACGTAGAGAATCTAAGTTACTACGTCATGGAGCAAAGATTAAATACGTAGAAACCATACCATTACATTGTCATATAGGAGATTGTTCTCCTGAGCTCCCTGTCATTGATCCCGGTTGTTCTGATAGGGAGAAGTATAATGTTTCTACAGGTCTGAAGTCTCCTGGGGTCAAGAACGTCACAATCGCGGACATGGATAAGCTCGACCTCTTATTGAGTAAGCTCGATCTACCGCGATGTGAAGTCACTCATTTTGATCACCCGTGCAATATATTCCATTCTTTAGGCATTTTTTAGAAACGTATTGCAAACCGAGTGGCTGACGAAGGACAGCAGTTTATGTATCTTATCTGCCTACTCAGACCAGCTTATCAACTGTGCAGATGCATTGGAGCAGTTGGGTTATGTTGCCGATCTTAATTCATTGACTACCATTGAGAGAGTATTATCTAAACTCCCTCGATTCATGACTACGGATTGGGTAAAGCCGGCAGAAGAGATTTACCAAATGAATCGTGAACCTTCTTTCCGCGATTTATGTGACTCTGTTTCTGCGAAGGCTTGGTTACAAAGAAATCGGTGCAGTTATTTGTTACATGATCGACGATCGGCAGCCGAAAATAATACCAGGGGCGCTGTTACCAAGAAAACGTTTGCATTGTCGTCCAAAGATGATTCATGTATCCAACGTGGACTAAGTCACCATTTGGACGCTTGTCAAGACTTCCGTAAGTTAAGTGTACAAGATCGATGGAGGATGGTATCTTAACGGACGTTGTGTTTCAGATGTCTTAGATTCGGACATCGAGTTGATACATGCAGGTCTCCTGTAAAATGTGATAGAAAAGGGTGCAATCGAGTTCAACGTGAACTGCTGCACCAAGAGGAAGTGTCCCAAATTTATAACGCTTCTCGTCAGATGTTCCCGAAAGGTTACGGAGTCAGACTAGGAATTATATCGGTGGTAGTTAAAGGACCCAATGGATCTCTGACCACGAATGCATTGTTGGATACTGGAACCGATACGTTTCTAGTCAAGAACGATATAGTACAACGGCTTGGCCTGAAGAGAAAGGTGCAAGACATTTTCATGAACACTCCTTTAGGTGACACGCTTAAACGTTCCTCTAAGGTCCAAGTCAGTGTGAAGTCGCTAGATGGTACCGAATTATTGGACGTCTCGACTGCATACACAGTGGTATCTGTACTCGAGGTGCCGGTTTTGTTGCCAGACACTCATAATCTATCTCATTGAAGCCACTTAAAAGGAAATGAGTTTCCTTCGATAAGCAGCCCAGTCGTCGGCCTTTTGATAGGATTCAATGTGCCAGAGGCTCATTGGATCTTATACCAGAGGCGAGGGAAGAAAGGGGATCCTTACGTGGACCGCACCCCGCTCAGTTGGGTCCTCAGAGGTCCCGTAGATCGCAGTCATAGGAATGGTGTGCACACCTTTCCCATGCATGCCGGCATCAAAGATATTAACGAAAACATACGCCGACTTTATGACCAAGAGTTTACTGACCGGTCTTCAGATGAGTTGTCTCATTCGGTGGAGGATGAATGCGCATTACGCTTGGTAGAGCAGTCCACAAGAGAGATAAATGGACATTTATGTGTAGGCCTGCCGTGAAGAGACGCCTGATTGCTTGCCGTTTGCAATCACCCGGCGGCCTTAAAACGTTTGATTGCTTTGGGTCGGGGGTTCCGAGCGGACCCAAAACTGCATGAAAAATACTCCGCCGCCATCAACCCATATTTAAAGGAAGGTTATGCAGTCAAATTAAGCGCCAAACATGATGACTTGGATGGATTTAAATGGTATCTTCCACATAATGCCGTGCTGAACCCTAAGAAGCCTGACATGTTACGCGTTGTATTTGACTGTGCTGCAGTTCATTTAGGAGAATCCCTAAACAAACACCTACTTCAAGGGCCCAACATCGTTTTCAGTCTAGTTGGGGTTCTCATCCGTTTTCGTCAAAGAGCTGTTGCGATTACGACGGATATTGAGGACATGTTTCTGCAAGTTAAAGTTCCAGAATCAGATCAAAGGGCTATAAGGTTTCTGTGGTGGTCTAAAGGCGACCAGCGACAACAAGTCAAAGAATATCATATGGCGGTGTAGAAACCAGAGTGAAGAAAATCCCTCTCCTTGGTTCGAGGCTTGACCACTGTTGTTCCCCCTCCCAATTACCCCTTTTTGACCCTGTGTGAACACGTTCTCTTTAGTCACTCCTGATTTGACCTGGATCACAGCTTGATCCTCCGTGTTAGTCATTGTCCATGGTTACTTGATGTCGGATTCTCGTGTCCAATGACCTTGTGTGTCTACCTATCGATCCCACTCGTGTCATCGTCTTGTGCACTAACGTGGCCTTGGCGTGTCATTGCCCCGATCCATAACCGCTCCAGTCCCTCGCTATATGCCCCTTCATTGGCCCTGTGGCCTGATTCGTTGTCTTGCTCTTAGCGAGTGCGCACCTGACTTCGAACACTGGCTGTTCACGTTTAGTGAGCAGAATTTCTCCCCTTGGCAAGCAGATCATTGTCGATCTGTTTGAATTTATCTTGGCTGTTCACGTTAAATGAACAGAATCCCTTGCTCGACCTAACAGGTATTTATGTTCCCTCTTTGTATATGTATTTCCTCGTCTTTATATCAGGTCTCTACCCATTTGTTTGAACTCACCCTTTTGGCTGTATAGCGACGGAGTCGCATTGTTGAGGCATGTTGTTCTTTGACTCGCCTAATGAAATAAACAGTACCGTACGCATTGCGGATCAATATCGTTCTGACTTCGGGGTTCGCATTTTGCTACGCGATGCTCAACGGTCTCATTGACGCTATACAGAACGACCGTGGAATAGTGGAATACATTCGGGCTACGGTCGAGCCAGAACAAGTCGTTTTGAAATTTACAGGCGGTACATCCGTTCATTGCTCTCATTTCACCGTTTTGTGCCAGTTTTGCTTTGCGAAAGACAGCTAGTTTATACGGTCACTACTTCCCGCCTGTGGTATCCCAGGCAGTTCGGAGAAGTTTTTACGTCAATGATCTGTTATTGTCCGTCAATGATAAAACAGAATCCAGTACCATTATTGATGCATTGTTGTAACTTCTACGTCGAAGCGGGTTCAGGTTGACCAAGTGGGCTAGTAACATACGAGATGTCTTAGTGAGGATCCACTCCGAGGAGAGGAATATTTTTGTCAAGGTGGTACCCGCTGGTGGTCTGCCAATGGAAAAGGCTCTCGATCTAGCATGGGATAGGGAGCGAGATTCATTTAGCTATCAATTTGTCTTGAAAGAGTGTCCGACTACACGAAGATCTTTGTTGTCTAGTTTAGCTGCGATCCACGACCCGCTGGGGTTGGTCAGTCCCTTTATTCTGCCCCTAAAGTTATGGTCTCAAGAATTATGCAAAGAAGGAAAAGGTTGGAATGAACCGATCTCGAGTGATGGCTCTAGGTGGCAAGAGTGCAGCACGGTTTTGGATAAGCTGAAAGTGTCTAGTTGCTTGGATGGTACTCAGGTGAAAGCACCGAGCCAACCTCAATAATACAACTTCATTTGTTCAATGACGCATCGGAAAGGGGCTATGGGGCTTCGGCCTATTTTCGTTTCGTCGGCATAAATGCACCATCGACGTGTGTCCTAGTTTTGGCTAAGTCTCGAGTATCACCTTTGAAGTTTGTTACTATACATCGGCTGGAGCTATCAGCCGCTGTGCTGGCTACGCAGTTAGCTCGAACGAACAAAGCGAAATTGAAATAACGCTGAGACGGACAATGTACTCGTCTGACTCTGCGTCGGTCTTATACTATATCCGAAATAATAAAAGCTGCTTCTCTGTCTTTTTCGCTAATCGCGTGACTAGGATACAAAACATTTCATCGCCAGAGCAATGGAGGCATGTACCGGTTAAGAATAACCCCGCTGACTTGGTTTCAAGAGGTATGGTCTCCCAGGGTAATGATCAAATGCGCTAGTTCTTTGGTCCTACGTTTCTGAGTAAAGCAGGTTATTTTGATGACTGTATAGGTCCTCATCCAGAACCCTTAAACGAGATCTTAGAANTCAAATGCGCTAGTTCTTTGGTCCTACGTTTCTGAGTAAAGCAGGTTATTTTGATGACTGTATAGGTCCTCATCCAGAACCCTTAGACGAAATCTTAGAAATCAGGAGCGAAACGTTCATTGCTTTGATTAATCAAACCAGGAGCCCGCAGTATTTTGAGAGGTTCTCGTCGTGGTTTGCGCTACGGAAATGGGTAGCATGGATATTAAGGTTTAAACGGTACCTCCTTATTCTTGCGGAAGGTCAGGCTAATATGTCACTGCGGGTAGGTCCGTTGCCAATAGAAGACCTGCGAGTCAGTCGTGCAGCAGTGATAAGAATATTTTCCTAAAGAGCAACAGGTGTTACTTGAGGATAACCCAAATAATCAGAGACTTCCTGCAAATGGCCCTATTGGAAAGGTCAGCCCCATCTTAGTCGATGGATTGTTACGCGTTCGTGGCCGCCTGCAGTGGTCCCATATGTCGAATTCGCTTAAGCATCCAGTGATACTCCTCTCCAAGCATCATATTACGAATCTGATCGTTAGATATCATCATAAATTTGATGGACACATCGGTTGCAATCAGGTCCTGGCAAGCGTTCGAATGAGGTTTCGGATATTGCAGGGTAGAGCCGCGATTCGACCGATCATTGGCAAATGTATGTCGTGTCGAAGGTATACAGCGCACCCGGGCAACCAGCAAATGGCGCCTT